TATATATATATATATATATATATATATATATATATATATATATGTAAAACACTATGCAACAAGAATTAATTATGTAAGTCGTAATCAACGGTTAAAACGGAAAGGATCAACGTCAGTCAAGAGTAGTAATATTCGCGCACGTTTGTAGACATTACGAAAATGTACAAATTTGTTAAATATCGCCGGTTTGTCTTATGTTGTTGTTAGGGTTAGAAAAAGTCAAGAGAGATATCTCTAATCCAAGACAGTTATTAGAAAGTGTCGGCATACCTCGTGGTGTATGTTGTGTTGTTGTGTAGATATTACGTCGGTTGCACACGTGCGACGTGTGAGACATTCATCGAAGAAGTGTAGATACAAAAAAAAAAAGAGTACTGGACAGCATTAGATTTATTTTGTAAGACTGAAGTCCTGTGACAATCGTGCAGATTTGTATATACAATAAATAATGAATAATACACAAGAACATATCAAGCATCAAGGTAGAGAAACTAATGTTATTGTGCATGCTAAAAGAGACAGAGTAGAAAAAACGTACATAATATATGAATATATCATTTATCTAAAACTAACTATAAGAAAATCTAACTTGTTAGGAAGATAGTCATTTTGTTTTAAATCATTCTTTCGGCGATTTTAATTCATTCTCCTCTCGTCTTTAACATTAGCAATGTCTTCATTCAGACAGAGAGACATGGTGATGGCAAATTTATATATTTTATATATATTATATGTAACTATATATTTGAGTTTTGTATGTAGAATTAATATATGTAATTTAATAAACTATTTATTGATGTATATATGTATATACATTGATTCTATGTACAAAACTCTTATCATTTAAGTAGTTGCCATCACATCATGTGTTTATTTTTAAGTGTACACTGAAAAATTTATTTTTATATTTGGAACTAAAGTATTTGATTCGATTTGGTCAGCATTATTATGTTTTTTTACTTGTCAAGAGTAGGATGTATTACCAAGAAAGGTAAACGCACAATGCAGTTTTTTGGTTGCAATTGCTAAATATTTAGTTGATCCCATTTTAATAAAATTTTGACCCGGGGTGTACCAAATTTTCTAAAACAAAATCTTTTTCTCAGTGTAGGTAGACGAATTGGAGGATACTTTCTCCGAAAGTAGGGCAATGTAGAAAATTTGGAAGAATTGTATTTTTCCACTCGCGGAGAGAACATATTTTCTATGTCTCGTTTTACCGCGTTTTCTAATCCTCTGGCGCGCTTTGCGCGTCTCTCGACCCTGCCCTCTGCGTCCCCGGACGGACTCGGCGCTTACCGTCCAGACATTCCCCGTCCGCGCCTTGGCGACCGTTGTTCCTCTCGTAGAAGTCGTAATCGGAGCCCGTGTCGTAATAAACCGGGTTGCCCATGTCCATGTCCCTAGAGTCCCGGTCGCTGAGCTCGCAGTTGTCCCTCTCGGCCCCGTAAGGTGCGGCGTACGGCCGGTAATTGAAGGACCTGCAAATGACATTGGAAATTTGCGAGCGCCTGATCGATTGCGCAAATAAACGGTGTCGGAGAGATTACTGCTGATTCAATTTCAAGCTTCCCCGGCTCTCGATTATTCTCTCTAACCAGCTATCGAAATTCCATCGCGATGGTCGCCGATTGTGGTCGTCATTTTTGAAAAATTACTTTTTCGTTTCGCAGAATCGGGTACTTCATTCATTTTAGCGTTACAAGCTAACAATTCTCGCACTAATAGTATGTATGATTTGACTCGGATTTTCTATATACATCTAAAGATCTTCTCTTATTGATCAACATTCACTCAATTTAATCTCACGATTTCTTCACGAAAAAAAAAAGATATGGACAACTAAACATAATTTGCTGTGTTAGTCACTTTCTCTTTGCTGCAGGAACCAATTTCCTTGCTAAGATAATAAGAAAATTTGCTTTTGCGACAAAAAAAGTAGCTGAAGCAGTAAATTATCCATCAGTTCAGTTGTCCATCTGTAGCAAATTTGCTGTGTTAGCCACTTTTCTTGCTGTACGAGCAGATTTTCTTGTTATCATAGGTTCCTGCAGCAAAGAAAAAGTAGCTAGCACAGTGAATTATGTTTAACTGCCCATATATAGCAAATTAGTTTGCTGCTGCAGCGAATCCTTTTTTTCCGTGTTTGGACTTGTGAAAGCTGATTTATTAGCGAAAAACAAAGAAATAGCAGAATTTTGTTGCTTTATACCGACGATATCGTTCGACTTCGTTCAGTTAGCGTGCATACATTCACCACGACACCGCTCTAATTTACTACCCTCTAATCCTCTTCGCTCATTACTTCCGCAAGTTCGGTCATTACCTGCAGACGAAGTCTCTAGCGTCCGCACATTGCCTCTCGCACTGGGCCAACGAGGAAGCGGTGGTGTATCGTCTGACGAACGGCTTCCGCACTCTAGTGTGAGGTCCGACTTGTCTGAAATTGTCTTGTTCATCGCACCTAGATATCAGTGGCGGCCTGCCAATGATGGGCCCTCCGGCAGTTCCGAACGGACGTGTGTTGTAGACACCACCTTCGCCTACGTACCCGCCACCTACTATACCGCCCCCGTCGCCACCCCCGTATCCTCCATATCCTCCGACGGGTCGAGCTGGCCCATAAGGTCCTCCGTAGTGAGGTCGGTCGCCACCGTGACTTTGGGGACCGCGAACGTCATCGATAAATCCGTGCGAGTATCCATGTCCTGGTATCGGGTACCTGCTGTTTTTTTTTTAATTCGATACATTTCTCTCTTAATTTTTCATGAAACTAGGGGACTGAAGTCGTGAGAACGATTCTTCAGCGAAAATTAGAGAAGCGATTGGAATAACATATTTTCCTAAGGGTACTTGCTGTGACTATCTTGATTTATGATGTCAGAAGTGAGAAAACGCGCTCAAAATTCCTACTAAATACGTAGAAATAAGATCTAGCAGAAATCTAGTAGAGGAATTTGGAACGGATATTTTTCACTTCTGATGTCATCGATTAAAAGTTCTGCGGCGAGTAGCCAAGAGCCTTAAAGAATCCAGAAATTAATAAAGAAACGAGAACTCAGTTTTGACGTTTACACGGAAAATAAAATAATAAATCAGAAAAGAACCATCAAAATGTATACAACAGTTATAAAAAATTATTTTCAGCAATAATGTGCCAAATATATAAATAATCTTCGAAAAATCCTCTACATACAGCACGTAATTAAAGCCCAATAATTAATACGTGAAACATGTTCAATAGAACATACACGTTTCTTTAATCTCGCGACTTACCGATTGGCGTAAGGATCCTTGTCAGGATATCTCTCACTAGCTGGATATCGGTCAACGGGAGTCCTGCTGCCACCTAATCCCGACGGATATCGATCCAGCGAATCATCAGAGTGAGGATATCGGTCGATCATATTAGGATATCGATCGGTGACGTCGATAGGATATCGACTCGGTGTTAACGGATATCGGACACCATGTATCACGACAGGATACCTGACATTCGTAGGATATCTGTCCAGGGTCCCAGCATCGGGATATCTGCTGCCGCCGGCAGGAGTGCGATCTCCACCTCTAGGAGGAGGATATCGATCGGATATCGGATAACGATCACCGACTGGATAACGATCTGAGAAAGGATAACGGTCTCCACTAGGATAACGGTCTCCACTGGGATAACGATCACTACTAGGATAACGGTCTCCACTGGGATAACGATCACTACTAGGATAACGATCTCCACTGGGATAACGGTCTCCACTGGGATAACGGTCTCCACTGGGATAACGATCTCCAGTAGGATACCGATCTCCACCGGGATATTTATCGGGATATCGGTCGCCAAGAGGATATCTGTCTGGATAATTGTCCGAATCGCCTAAGGGATATTGTCCTGGATATCTGTTATCTGGATATTTATCAGCTGGTACGGGATAACGATCTGGATACCGATCTGGATACCGATCTGGATACCGATCTGGATGGCGGTCAGGGTAACGATCTGGATAACGGTCCGGGACACGATCGGGATATCGATCTGGATATCGATCTGGTTTTGCGTTGCCAGGGTATTTGTCGTAATCATCCGAGTAAATGGAACCTGAAAATGGAAGATCCAGTGAGACTAGGAATCATATTCGGCGTTAATGAACTGCAATTATCTATGCATAAAATATCTTCTATTTTAGTGGAATGTGATAAAAGTCGTGTCGAAATCGAATGTATTGACATATAGCAAAAAAAATAAATCCGAACCAGACTATTGCGTTCAGCGCTAGATGTGAGACACGGATCGGGGTTAACTTTGAAATACGTTAGTTTCGAGCAAATAATTGGTTTGTAAGTTAGTTCGCTACCGCATCTTCTAACCACAAAACACATCGCGGCTACATATTCTCTGAAGATCTTATTCCATTAGAGACTGACTCGTGCGTGATTACTCGACAGCTCTATGAATAATTGTACAACTGTAAACAACAGAAGTCGACGCACGATGTTATGTTGCATTAATAAAGAGATTCTAACCCGGCCTTCCTAGAGAGGGTCGTTCAAAGTTTGTGTCCTGTCCCAAAGGATCTGGTCTGTATCCAGGGCCATCGCGATCGCCGTCCAGATATTGATCTGTTGGCATAGTTGCGTCGTTAACTAAATATTGAACTTGCGACGTCCAGTGCGTGACGTACAAGTGTGCCGTTGGGAGTTTCAGCAACATTTATTCAAGACTCCGCACTGTCGTCGGCGTCGAAATGTAACATACCAACTGGCAGTAATTGAAGGAAATAGGATAAACCATACAATTATTGGCACTTTAGAAAAACTCACTTTTTCATGCAACTAACATTGCAGTTAAGTTTCTTGCCTGTATTCTGTGAAAAAGATTTTCGCATCTAAAACCGTGAACAGATGCCGCTGGTCTAGAAAAACCAGCTTTTCCTAGAGTGTGGTTAGGGAGAATGCCAATAATTGCGCGATTCATCTCATAATAGTAGAAGAAATAAGGAAGTCTAATAGTAGTTCAAGAAATGAGGAAGAATCGCGGAAGTAGGTCGGAAGAACGAGAATATTCGACGTAGGTCGAGAACGGAATGTTCGATGCTCACGCATGAGATTCTCGTAGTAATCGTAATCGGCATCGTAGATGATCCTGTTTCCTTCCCGCTGATTAAATCGGCTTAGTCGGCAGATGTGATAGTGCTCGGAGTAGACGGCGCTGCGGCACTGGAAGCTCGTCTGCCGGAGGCACTCGTCCAGGCACTCGCTGAGACTGCGCCCGGTGATCTCCGAGTGGAACTCACCGCTCAGACGTGAATTCCGATAACGTTGGAAGGCCGTGTCCGGCCGGCGTCCGTCGGAAAACAGATGGGACGTCGAGCTGCTGTCCGGGTATTCCGAGCCACGTGCTAAGGACGGATCTACGCTTCGTAAGTGGGCATTGATAACGAGTTGTGAGTCGCCGATCGACCGCCGTCTCAATTGTGTCTTGCGTCCAGCGCGTCACAGTGTGAATTACAATGAGACCTCCGTTGTGCGGAGCGGTGTAGACGCTTTTCCGATTGAAACTGAAGTCTCGATTAATGGCGCGAACTCGTGCGCCGTGCAATTTCTCAGAAATATGCCTGGAGGTCTGACTAATCACTCATTTCATCTATTCAAAAGCTCGGAATCGAGTTTCTGATATTGTGGAATTATAACAGTTTCACGACTACAGTGAGACTGAAACAGGGACGTGTGAGAGACGATTAGACATTTCGCGTGTACTTACGATTATCTAAGCACACCAGATCGTAGAAATGGTGACTGGGGCTGCTGCTGATCCCAATGTCCTCCTTCTGCGAGACGGAATCTTCCTCGGATATGACACACTGTCGAGTCTGCTCGTCGAACTCGACGCTGCGACAGAAGTACTTCTCCGCTCTCAGGCATAACGCCTGGCACTCGTCCAGCGTGAGATTCGTGTATATGTCTACCTCGTATGGGCCCCGTAAACGCTTGTTTTCCTCTTTGACGAATACCGCGAGTCCGTCGCATCGTCGTTCCGCTGGTGAAACATTAGAAAGGACAATTAAGAAATAACGCTTCGATAGTTCGCACGCGGTTCTTTATTTGGCTAGAAATTCTCTCTCATGCGAGCGAAAGCATCTTGGAATGTGACAAGGTTCGCGTAAAATTGTTCGATGCAGGAAACGTACCATTGAGACAGGTATTCTCCAGATAGTCGGAATTCGGATCGTCCTCCAGCAGCTCGGGGTGAGTCCTCCTGGTAAAACGACTGAGGGAACAGCTTCTCAAGGCGGTGTCGTACGTCGCCGATCGACAAACGAAACTGAACTCGTTCAGGCATCTGAACAGAAAGTACAGAAGGTCCAAATGTATTGTTTCTTTCACGGCGCACACGTACACGCCGCCGTACGATACCTGTCCTCGCAATCAGTTCTATTAGCGGCGCTGACTTCCTTGATGTCCGTCAGAGGTAGCTTTAGTTTCTTCCTCGCGTGCCTCTCGAACACGTATCGGCGGTTCGGACATTCCCTCTCTATTCTGTCAGCTGAGAATAGTAATTCTTTCTTACAAATTGCACGAGTGAGTAAAAATTGCTTAATTTTCATCAAATAGATTTTCAAAAGATGACACAAATTGTAATTAAAAATTCTTTAGAGGTGTTAACGGAATTTTATGTCTAACATCTTATCGTTTTCAACCTTTTTATATTTTTTAAAGTACAATTATTATTTACTAAAATGCTGTACTCGTAACTGATAATTACAGCGTTACGATTGATAAAATATTGCTGGAAAGATCAGTTAATAATAGCGACTGCTACCATTATTGATGCAGTTTGCAAACGCAGACAATGCCAGCGCACGTGCCAAATTGCATGGAAGCCGTTAATTCCATCATCACACATGCAGAAAGTTGGATTTCGTGTAGCATATAACGAATTTATGCGCCATAGATTTTGCAATGAAATTTTGCTTCCACTGAACAAAATCAGTGATATATATGGCCGAGCAGTAAAATGGAAGTTTTTATTGAAAATCAATAAATATTCCTTTATCATGTAATAAAAGTAGAAGTTAAAAAAATCAGTGATAAATCTTAAAAAATAATACAAGATAACAGTGATACACTGCAAATCCAAGTATGTTATTTTTACACGCGTAAATGTGTAATAAAATATGTAAATTCTAATTTAGTACGTTTTTTTAGTTATGTTAAATGATGTGATTTAACCTTCTAACCGTGTTCGTTTTGGATATACTTTGATCATGTTCAGGGTCTAAATAGACCCAATGGTGAGAACTCACTATTTAATTGACATATATGTATTTTTTATATCTTTTATTTTAGCATTATATAAAGTACAATTATATTTATTATATTTATATTTAGTACAATATGTATTACACGCAAAAAAAATTTCAGTTGGTGCAACCAAATAAGATCCAACTGAAAATTAGGTGATTAGAAGCGATATCTCTGTTACGGAAATTAATATTTCTGTTGTCGCCATCGAAAATATTCGTCTGAACATTCAACGATATTAGAACTCGGTTGAGGCAGCTGAGAACAATTGATTGTACAGAAACCTCATAAAGGAATTTTTCTGTTCCTACAGCTGAATTTTCGTCTGATCCTTGAGCAACCGAAAATTCGGTTACATCAACAGTATTGTTTTTTCCATGTATATTTTATATGTACAATATGTACTGACTTTTTCTAAAATAATTCGAAAAGTCATTTGTATTTAGAATATTACAAAAACTGTGTGAACTTTGAAACTGCTCTAGGTCAAAAAAGACACAGAGCACAGCTACACGGAAAAAACAATTCTATTGGTGCAACCGAATTTTCGGTTGTTCAGGAATCAGACGAAAACTCGGCTGTAGGAACAGAAAAATTCCTTTATGAGGTTTCTGTATAGTCAATTGTTCTTAGTTGCTTCAACCGAGTTCTAATATCGTTGAATGTTCAGACGAATATTTTCGGTCCCGACAACAGAACTATTAGTTTTCATAACAGAGATATCGCTTCTGATCACCTAATTTTCAGTTGGTTCTTATTTGGTTGCACTAACTGAAATTTTTTTGCGTGCAGAAGGTTAAAAGAAACATGTAAAAAGAGATTCAATTCAAATAAAATACTTGGCACTTTGCAGTGTGCTCACTAATTATCGGTGAGATATTCCTCTTTTTCTATTCAATCGAAAATATTTTTATCTATTCACTTCAAGAGAAGGGGGAATTGCAGATTTCACCGCGACATTGGGAAGAAATTATTCCAGCTTTCCTTTTCCATCGATGAAAAGGTTCGCTGGTGGCGTATCAATTAATACAGTGCGGCGTACAACGATATCTTTTTTCTATCCGGATACTCACACGCTAGGCACACTTCAGTGAAGTGCACGCTATTCGGTACGAGTATGATATTTCCGACGCCCTCCGGCTGCGCCTGTTCCCTCGTTAAATAGCAAGTACTCTCCTCATACTCGGCGGCGCCGCTGAAGGACGCAATTCTGCTACCGGGGTGGAAGTCAAAGCTCGTGCACGGGCGGACCAGGTTGTTCGTCGCCGTTCTGTCGCGCAGACAGAGCTCTTGACACTTTTCCAGAACCCTAAACGGAGACGCCGAGTCTCGCACCTGTCGTAAATCGGACTTCTTTAAATATCGGATACGTTTCCTCGCGTATTCGTCGCCGTGCAATTTTTCCTCCGCAAAAATCGCCGTAACTCACTGAAACTCGAGAAACGATCAGAATCGCTATCGAAAGCGCCTGGAACGCGCTGATGGAAATTGATAGTGTCATAACGTTGAAACAGTCGGAAATTATAATTCCTGTTTGAAATTCCCGCAGTCTCGGGAGTATAACGCTTTATACGCCGACCGCGAGGGAAGATTTTTCTCGCGATAATAGATTGGAAAATCGAAACTGTAAAGCGTATTGTCGGTGTGACATAGTCAAACCCGACTAGAAATTTATTCTGTAGTCCGGGCCAGATCCTAATTATTAATAATCTTTATCATTAATAATATAATAATAATATATAATATACTATGTAATAATATTCAGCTGTATTGGTTCGTTTATGAAAAGCAAACTTGACGTTAATACAATCAAATTATTTTCTCTCCGTGTAATTGGGATCAACCTGATCGGGATCATGGGATAAATTCCTAGTCGGAAAGCTCGAGTTCAAATTATTTCCGAAACAGAGCATTACCGCATCATCGTCGAAACCTTGCAGATTTTGGTTCGGAAGTCTCTCGTAAACAACTCTACCCAAACCGCCGTTGCAGGTCGTTTGTGCTGAAACTTTAACGATTACCTGGTTAGCACGCGGTCAACGCACGGGAATCGGTCGATCGTCGATTTTGTTGGCACATTGTCTCGCGCGAAACGCGGATTATTATTTCCTTTTTGCGTAAAATTCCAGGCTACTTCCTCTGCCACAGAACGCGCGCTTCGATTTTATCAGCGCGATATTTTCGCGCCATAAGTGGCACGGATAGCGAGACAATGCCGGCCAACAGTTTCGCAAGTACACATGACATCGTTTTCACCGACAATGTATCCCTCGACTTTTGCGCCGGCACGTTCGTGGAACTATTTTGCCTATACGCAAACAGCGAATACCGAACGCAACGCGCGGCGCATTTTTATAACGCGCGATACCATCGTGCTGTCGACTAAAAGCTCGGGATTTTTTTTAACAAACGTTCCTACGATTTTATTGCGTAAAATTGTGCACACTCCGGAATTAACTATTGTCATCATTTGAACGTAAATCGTTGATCGACCGATACGTCCGCATTTTCGATTTAGAGGATTTTGAACTTTCCATTATCAACCTACCGTTGGCCAACAGATTTAAGATGGCGAATGCCCAAACGGCTGGCAGCATATTAATTAATCCGTGAGTCTTGTGCATCGCGATATTTGAGTGTAGAGATTGCTATGTCGCGTACATGCCAATCAGCGTTACTGAAGACCTGTAAGCAAATTATTAAAGCTCATTTTTATAGTTGTCACTTGAGACTGTGAGATGCTCAGATTTTTATTCGGTTAAGTCCATGGTAATAGCCTTTATACGAAATTTGTCTTGCGTGAAATATTTAGGTCTAAGTTTCAAGTTATATCAGAGTTTTTCCATCGAATTATATTATATTCGTGACATTATAATTATAATTGCAAATTAACTGTCTCATCCAATTCAAATCTGAATATCGTACTGGAGGCAAGTTTCAAATGACAATTAATACAGACTTTAAATTCAAGTTTTTTCTAGTTGAATTATGATACATGTGATATTTGTACATGTAGTTGCAATTTAACTAAAGAACATTTACTCTGAATTGAATTGAAATTTAAGTGTTGCAAATTTTAAGTAGTAACTAAATGAAAGAAACAATATGGTTGCGCTACACATAAATCTGTTTACATCAACTAGATTCGAATCTGGTTGGCACAACCAGATTTATGTGTGGATCATGCTATGCTGTTTTTTCCGTGATATCAGGCCTAAATATTTGATGTGCAAAAATAAAATGAAATCTCTCCGCCTCGGACAACACATTATATCACCGCCAAAGTTTTCTGCGATGACTTTATCGAACGCGCGTCATCATGCGCGATATTAAATTATTTCACCTTGTGCTCTATAAAATTGTACGATGTCGAGATTCCGAACAGTCGGACGGGAATGCGCATCTCGCTGCGAAAAGAGAGGAGAAATTCAATTTATGCGAGGAGAAGAATGCTCTTTTAAGGAGTAGCTTTGTATTGAAATTTAAGAATGCAAGAGGTCGCGGAATTATTTACACGTAGGACCATCGGAAGGCCGGCTATCTCCTATACGCGTCTTTATCCCGTCGCGCGAAATAAACGTCGGCTGGAATGCAATAAAATGTTTGTGTTGCTGGAAGGAGATGCAGTTCGCTTCTAAATTATGTATCTGCGCTATCGATAGCGTTCGGTGTGTACGGGGAAGCAAAATAAACGTCGCTCGTTACTCTGAGTTTGTTTCGGCTGTGCCGAGCCGTTGCAGACGAGGCGTGCAGAGAATGACAGTGATACGTTTCTGGGACGCGTTTCGAAATCGCCCATGTGAATATTTCTGCCGGGTTTGCCGAGCGGCAGGCACGATAAGCATACTCAGTTTCTGTCTCTCGCGTGATAAAAAAAATAACAGAGGTGAGGATAAAAAAGAGAAAGAGACAGACACAACGAGAAAAATCGAAATGGAGATGAAACTACGCGAGAAACCATTTGTTCTGGCCAGTGGACGTTTCCACGTAGCCGAGATACGTGTAGGGACACAATGTGTAGTGGAGTTTATGGGATTCCTGGCGAGCACTCACCCTGAACATTTCCACACACTCGCATCCCCTCGCGCGATCGCACACGCGTCCGTGTCCACACACATACGGTCGCGAAAGGACTAGCACACGCCCGTAAGGCCAACGAAGCGTGGTTCCAACTTTCAGGCATCGCATTATTAGCCGTTGTCATTATCTGCTTGGTTATCGTGATTGACGTGGGTGAACGGTCGGGTTCAATCATCGGAAACGATAGAACAGGTTCCCCGATGCCTCCGTCTTAACTCTCTCGAACGAACGGAGACTCTCTCGGATATGCACGCTGTAGATTCGGAAGCCGCCAAATTTCATCTCTCGTGGCGTGAATCAATTTAAAACCCCATCGCGGGTACATTTGTCCATGTTGTGTCGAAAGTCATATCGGAACAATGCGGTGAGTACGAAATAACGTTCACCGCCATCGACATGCCACGCGAGTAATGTGGAACGTCGATAAAAAATTATTTACTGTAAATTAAAATCCACGAGTCGCGGAACCGAGCTCTGATAGATTCGCACACTGCACTGAGAAAATTATTTTTATATTTGGAAGTAAAATATTTCGCACATACGAAATAGTTTGGTTGGCGTTATCATGTTTTTCACTCGTACCAAGTAGGATGTATTAGTGAGACAGCAAAACGCAAATGCCAATTAAATTTTTTTCGCAATTTCCAAACATTTGATTGATCCTATTTTGATTGAGTTCTCGCTTCGATAACAAAATCCTTTCTTTAGTGTGGAAAAACGTTTGGTTCGATTAGACAAATTTCTGGTGCAATATGTACGAATTAGAAAATTCTGGTTGAAGTCAAAATTCTACCAAAATAAATTATTTATCTAAAATAATAATAATCTACCAAAATTCTGTGTTCAAGTTAATCTTGTCAACTTGAATACAGAGTGCTGGTAGCTTCAACTGGAATTTTCCGACTTATTCATATATTTCACTAGAGATTTGGTTGTAATTCAATCAAACTTTCCTTTTTCCCATGCGAGGAACAACTAGTTAACAGGAAATAGCCTTAGTGATCCGCGATTTCCTGTGAGTGCGGTGATTTCGCGGTCGTTCATAGCGGCACTACAGCGGAATGTTTACGATATCGATGCTGTATCATAAAGGCGATTTTATTATCGCTGTAATTTGCGTTTACTCGGCGAGATGCACCTACTTGTTCGTGACGAGTGCCAATTACTGTGGCCGTACTCTTGCCCGCCGATTGTCTGCCATCGTGTCCAACGTGCAGCGACACTGCTTATTAATTGCGTTACGGTTTATCGCCCCGGTAATTGCGTCTGTCACTGGCAACGATATAAAAGCTTACACTGATGTTAATATCGTCGGCGAGAAAATGATGGTACCTGCTCGTTATAATGCCCGGAATATTACACCGCATGCAAAATTACATTTGTGTAATTGTCCCCATCGGATTGCCGGATTTATATGACGTGCCGCTTGTCGTATGTAAATTGTTTCGGGAAATTACTCAGATTAAGGTAATTAAACAAGCCGTTAGACACGAACGCGAAGCTTGCCGATCGAGAACGCGCGCTCGGCTTACGATGAAGATTTTTTTCCAGGAAACGTTGAGAAATGGTCCTTGGAGATTCATGCAAATCGAGATTGCTTGATTTTGTTTTTTTTTATTGCGTTGGTACGTATAAAACCTAGCGCGATATTATGCAGAATATGTTTGATGCAAGACAGTACTCGTGTGTCCAAGTATTAGTGCTTTTATCTTAATTAAAGAAGATAGGTAACGCGATGGAGCGTGTGACAGCAAGCACTTCCGTGATGTGCTTTAGGTCAAGCTGAACGAAAAAATCCTCTACCATTTTACAAATAATCACGTAGATTTCTGAGTTTTTGAATTGGAAAAGATTGCCGAATAATCGCGCGTGATCGTTCGTCAATCTTCCTCAATTGATAATTTAGAAATCTACATTATTGTTTGCAAAATGGTGGAGGGCTTCTTTGTTTAGTTTGATCTAATCTACAAGCACACAACGGCAATCGTACACATGTATCGCGTGCGATTCACACATTCGTCACTTTTCTTTAATAAATTCGCACCAACGTTGCATATATGACGCAACGATCTCTCACCAGAGGAGATCATTGTCACATATGTGTGAAAATTCTTTTTTCTATGTTCACATTATCAAACTGACTTTGTTTACACGATTATGTGAAAAGAAAAAAGAACGAGGCGATCTACGAGGAGAATTCTCCGAATAAACGGTGATAGCGAACGTGTTGATCAACAACGCAAAATTTTATACGGTTATTTGCAAAATAATAAAGAAATTTTGTGTTCAGTCTGATCCAATCTATCTTTGCACGAGTTGTCACTATATCGAGCGCTTTTCACTTATTTCTTATCCTTGTTAGGATCGTGCTTGTGTCGATTTGTGTTGACCAAATGAAAAGCGCTCAATATAGTGACAGTTCGTGAAAGTAGATTGGATCAGACGAAAGTTCTAAATGCCTGAAATGTAACAAAGACAGAATGATGTGGACTCGCGTTATCAAATGACGGGCGCTCGATTTCGGACGATTTTCGAATAATTCAGACGACGGTGCGCGCGAAGTAATGACGAAAATTGTCGATGAAACGTCGATGGACCAACATCCGCAGCAATGTTATCCCGATAAACTCGGGAAGTGGTTCGCGGATCGCCATTAAAGCGGCATTGATTTACGCGATTTGCCGCACGAGCTCTGGGAACGCACACGTCGCCTTTTTCAAGCTCACTTTCTGCGGCAGCTTCATTGTGAGCTTCCATCAGGAGCTATTGTCGCGGTGCTTTGAACTCTGTCGGTACAGCGGATGGCATTGTTGCGTGCGTACCCGTGTCGAACCGGGGAATGAATTCGGTCATTGTTGTGTGACGTTGACGTTAATGGAACGTTCGCACGCAACGACAAATTATTATCTGGTGATGCGCCATGCTAATTCCATCGAATTAAATTCGAGAGCGACGGCGCGGCACGGAGCTGGCGAATTCAAACGCCCGCGAACGGACTCGCGCCGGTGATACTTTTCGCGGCGAGTCGCGTCAGTCGGGATTCATTTCTTGGCGGCATTGAGAGTATTATCGAGCGCAATGGAATATACGATCGCGCGCGCGATCGTGCCAAAGATCTTCCACGGAAAATCACTGCACTTCGTATCTTACAATTGCGCAACGATCTTATGCGAATAATTGTCGTAATTATAGCGATACAAACGAACGCGTGCAATGCGCATCAACGCGTTAATTGCCACGCAATGCGTTGTTGGAATAATCAATTAAGATTTCAAACCGTTACACAGCCGGTGCGTGCTGACGCGCTTATTTTATTACGATTATGCAATGTGTACAGGACCGTGTGAACGGTGTTCTCTGTATGAAAATATATGCTTCTCTCATCTTCGCAAATTACACGCGTTGGAAAAAAAAAAAGAGCAAATCATGAGTGTGAATAAATTCCGTAATTTCGCAAATGGACTTTGAGTAGTTTACCGGCTTTTGAGGGATTTCTTTCAAGAAAATTAATGAGGTACATAAAAACTGTAAAAAGGGTGTGTGAGATAGATCCACCCTTCTATGCAGCCCAAGCCTTGCTCGCAGTGCTCCTTTAAAAGAGGAAGCTGTAAAATTGTTATTAGATTCAAGTCGAGTATCTTGTGCTCCATATATCAATACTAGTTGAGAAATCCGATAACCAACGATCATCAATTACGCAAAAAAGGCATCTTCATCAATCAATCAGTCAGAAAGGTGGAGATCGTCTTACCACAGGAGCAGCTGCGGCTGAGTCCGTCGCGGATCTTCCACTCCCCGATGTGCTCGAGGGGAAAAGCGAAGAAAAGCGCAAAGCCGAGTCTTCTGATGGTGATCTTGATATATGGCGCCGATGATGGTTCACGTTCCTCGTGGTCGTGTGAAAAGAGGCGCGAAGGAGGTGTGTATGTGCACGCGTGCAAAATGACGCGTGCGGCGCGACTGGCACCCGTAATCAAACTGACGGTCAAAAACGGCGGGAAGCGTGGAAATAATGGACAGACACCCGTCTATGCCCCGGAGAAGTGGAGAGAGGCGGAGGAGAGGACAGGCAAAGAGCAAATCGTGGATACCCGATGAATGATTCGCGATAGACGTGTAGTCACCACAGGCCGTAGGGGGCCCGTAGGGGACAACGGATAACGCGCTTGCGAGCGTGAGGCCCCACAGGTGGGGTCCCCACGTCCGACTTCTGGCCTTGCGCGCGCCGGAAACGGGTCCATTGTGTGTCCGGTTTCCGCGGGGACCATCCGGGAAAACTGCCAATGCGTGATCGCGTCAAGTTGTCGAGGCTCGACCATCCGACAGCGTTGACGACAACGCTGCAGACCCTCGTGACGCCGATACATCGGGCCCCGACATCATCACGGCGGAATCATGGATTAGAGACTCCCGGCCGAGGTCAACCAGGACGAGATCGCGCCGTCATCGTCGACCGGAGGCAGCCAGCCGCGACTTAGTCAGCGGATCAACAATCGGCTGGACAAAATGCCGAGGCGATGAAGCGTTCTCGCGTGATATTTTTGCGATCCTGTCGATCCTATCGATCCTGGAGGTATCGGGCCTTTGCAAAGTTGGCTCTTTTATCAAAATGCTCGCGGTGCACAATGTTGCGCATTGCTCGTTTTTATGGACAAAAATCGATATTTGAAACATAGATACTTTTTTAACGTTAAGAACGGTAGTGAAAAATAAAAGTCACTAGTCGTTCGCAGTTTTCGAGTAGCTAGTGAAGATAAAATTCGGTTGGCGAGTTGACTCTTTCGCGTCTGAATCATATTCACCTCACATTGAGAAAAAATATTTGGTATTTAGATGACTATAATCACATAGAAAAATAATTCCTACAAATTATGGTGAAAAAAGCATTTTTTTAAATTAAATTTTACTATAATATTAGTAATAATAACATTATATGCATGTCACTGCTACCATTTTCGTGTTAGAACAACTAAAAAATATGGTTGAAGTAAAAAATAATTATAATTTTAATTAGATCAACCATTTCTTTTCGCATAAACTTAAAGAAATTAAAAACTTGAATCAGAGTTGTAAAAATATCAATTAAATTCGCCTCAATTTAATGATTGATTTGAATAAATAATTTCTGATTTAATTGATAATTAATATAAGCCTATTCAATTAAAAATATTGTAATTAATCACTGACTCTTAAAAAAATTTAATTAAAAATCATTCAATTAACGATTAATTTGAAAGAATTCAGTTAAAAACTGTTGAATTAACGATTAAAACGAGCGACAGTAATTAAAAATTATTCGATTAACGATTGAACATAGTCAACATAATTAAGAGTTATTTAATTGACAATTGATATAAGCAATATATATATATATATATATATATATATATATATATATATATATATACACAAGGTGTTTCTTTACCTCCGCCTACGAAGCACATAGCGTTATTTCTTATGAAAAATTGAATCGAAAAGTCCTGAACCATTTTTGTCTTTGATGCTTAACAAAGCAGATATTCTTTAGTAAATTCTAGCAAGTCCGCGCGATCCTTTAGAAGTATACATGTTTGTGAACCACACACCTGGTAGTGTGCATGAATGTTCCGCCGCTGTATTCACGTAACTACCAGGCGCGCAGCTCACAGACGTGTATACTTCTAAAAAACGGCGCAGATTTGCTGGAATTTATTAAAGAATGTCTATCTCGTTAAGCATCAAAGACAAAAATGGTTCAGGACTTTTCGATTCAATTTTTCATAAGAAATAACGCTATGTGCTTCGTGGGCGCAGGTAAAGAAACACCCTGTATATATATATACAGGGTGAGTCATTTTAGTCTATGGATCCGAATATCTTCCAAATTACAGTATCTACAAAAAAATGGTTTAGATAAAAGTTGACCAGGACAGAGGGGGTCATTCAATTGTACCATTGGTTTTGACCTTGAGGTCAATTTTGAAGGTTACTTCAAGGTCACGATGGTTTTTTCTAATGGGACACCCTATTTTTGACTGCGGATTTCGAAAGAGCGGAAAATTTTACATCAAACTTGTCTTATGAAAAAATTGTTTTTGCGACCTTGGAAAGGTCAAAAATGAAGGTGAAATGTCTGAAAAACGATCTGGTGTACTTTTTCTGAAATGACGTGGTTTTCTGGGTAACACAAATGTGCATAATGCTTAAACAAAGTCAATGAATTGTAAAAGTGTAAATCACTTTAACTAGCTTGACCTTCAGGTCAATTTTCAAGGTTGTTTGAGGCTCATAACGCATTTTTTGATGTTTTTACTTTTAGCGTTACACGGAAATAACGACGTGGACGTAGTAAGTTCTGTTTCCTTTAGGGTGCTT